CGCCCCCTGCGAATCGATTTTTGCCCGAGCGGAGATAACAGTAACAATAGCAATAATCAGGACGACGACCAGGAGAAGGATAAACGATCGGACGAGACGTCGTGCCGGAAGCCAGCAGGAGGACGAGCAGGCGGAATGAACTCTCTCTCTCTCTCTCTCTCTCTCTCTCTCTCCAGATCAGTCAAAGTGAAAATGGCCGAGTCGCCTAATAAAGTGCCAGAGCGAGTCTGCGGACGACTCGGTCGAAGTTTAATTTCTGAATAGTTTGAGGGGGTAGTTTATCCCCTGAGCCGAAGAGGCCTCGCGCGGAGCCATCGATTTTCACGTCCATCTCGCACTTCGTTTAATTGCCTAGAACTACCTAGCGTGGAGTGGCACGTCCGCATCCTCCCCTGCTCCCTCCGCAGGGAGCGCAGGAGGAGTGGGGGTGGCGGCACTACCCTCCCCAAGCAGACGTTTGCGCCAGTGTGGACACGCTTGCTGACGTGTGGACCCTTGCTGCCGAAAGAAGCGGCCATCGGACTTGGAGTTGCGAGCCGGAAGTGCTTCCTGCTTCTTGAATGGTTCCTGGGTGAAAGGGTGGAAGGGGTGGAAGGGGTGGAAGGGGTGGAAGGGGTGGAAGGGTGGAAGGGTGGAAGGGTGGAAGCGAGCTGGAATGCTCGTGGAAGAGGACAGGGTGCGCTTTATCGCGTCCACGTTACCGAGTACCCGGAACCCTCGAACGAAGAGCGCCTTCCTGCACAGCAGAGCTACCTGGCTACCCAGACGAATGATGATAATTCCGTTGCTTTTCTTCACTTCATTTTCTTTCTTCTCCTCCTCCTGTATACAGTATAGGCACTTCGACCCAGGGAGCGTCAACTATCGTTATCGGTAGGAGGTCGAGAGGGCGAGGAGGGAGGGTTCAGAGATGGGAGGTGGGTGCGCCCTGTTATTCGATTTCCTGGGATTCGAAGTAAAAATGGAGCTAGGGGGAGGTGGGTGCTCGGCACGAAAGCAGGAATTGGAATGGGACGGATTGATTCGGCGCTCAGTGTTGCCAGGGATGAGTAGAGAAGGATGCTTAGCAACAGGTTGTTATTGGGAAATTGTCAACCTCCGCGATGGATCCTCCCTGTCTCTGTCCCTCTGTCCCTCTGTCCCCTTTGTAGCGCATCAACGTTATTGTGCAGATGTGCATGGTGCATGGTGCACGGTGCACGTGTGTCACACACGCGTGCCTACTCCCTCCTGTGCATCCTACGTCTCGAATCCGTGTGTGGGATTTCAGGGCTCCCCAAGGAATCAGAAGGCATCCAGCCGTACTTTACTTTAGTTTTCGCACTTGCAGGTGCCAGCCTGAGTTTCCAAGTGAGTTTCCACGGTACACGTGCGCAACGAGCAGAATCCCAGTCCTTCCTTCTCTATACATTTACTATAGCCATTGCGAGCTAACTGTATCTAACCAGAGCTCCGCTATACCCAGCAGATACTCGAACTGACTCCAAGTCGGAGCAACTGGTAATGGGAAAGCGAACTTGGCACTTGGCACTTGGCGCGTCCACGTGCACGCGTCGCGGAGGGACGTCGCTTTGCGCTGCTCACCCCCCAGCGCCGGTACTTGCGAAATACCCTTCAGGCTTATTGCTCCGATCAGTGGGAATTTTGAGTAAATTATCCCTTCGTTCCAAATTTTCAAAGTAACGTGCCGAGCGACCAAGCAAATTGCAATCCGCAATCCGCAATCCGGGACGCAAAGAATTCGTTCCACTCCTTCGCGGGCGATCATTGCGTGGAGACACTCTTGTCCTCGAGGGACGTGGCTGGGAGAAACCGGAAGCCAAGTTTGGGCCGATTCGATTCGCTTGCCAGTGAAATACTTTGTTTCCTAGCTGCCGTCTCTGTGAATATATATATATATATATACATGTATACCATATATGTTGGACCGGAAGGTTGGCAGCACCGCGATCGGTTTCGTCAGGCTGTGAGCTGCGTTCGACGATTGACACGACCTGGAATTTCCGATGATGAAATTGGCAAACACACACGAGCTTCGGCGGTTCTCCTATCCAATTCGATTAGCGGCGACTCGCTGCTGCTGCTGCTGTTCGCCATTTCTAGCAGAGGGATGAATCTAGGCGGAAGCGCGCAGAGAACCCAATTAAAAAGAATGGGAAATTGAAATAAAAAAGGTTAAAGGGTGGTCAAATCTTTGAAATCGCTGAAACGACAAGAAAAAGAGAAAAAGGAAAATGAAAAACAGTCTCCGGCGGCCAACGCAGCTGCTCGCGTCTTGATTCGAGATTAAAGGGGAAAAGTGGGGATTGCGACGGGGGGG